AAATTTTTATCGGATAAAGTATTTTTTGACTTTTGTACATATAAAGTTATTTAAAAATTTGAAGCTAAAGTCAAATAAAAGTCTTTTAAAAAAAGAAAAAAAGAAAAATTAATAAACTAAAGTCAAATAAAAGTTTTTTTTAAATAAAAAATCAAAATAATTAATAAAGTGCACCTAGGCGGTCAATTGCTAAGTTAGCAGCTTAATTTGGGTTTACTATTAAGGCAAAACGTTTTGCTCGCACCTCACGTCTAGGCGCAATTTTAGAACATCGTGTTTCTTATTACTTTAAAGTGGTAAGCTTAAGTGGATATGGAGAAAGATAGAGAGTAGTGATTAGTGAGATGTTAGTATCAAGCAGTGGTTTAAAAAGTATAAGGCATCACGAGGTGTGGAGGCCAAACTTCGAGTTAGGCGAGATTTAGGCATAAAAAAGGTCTAATTGATAATTAAAATATTACCTACTAAATATATAAAATTATAAAGTACCATATTGAAAAAATAAAATGAAAGGAAAAAAAAAGGGAAAAACGTGCGCCATGGTGCGAAAAAAATAAAAAAAACAAATAATAATAATAAAGAGCAAAAAAGCACAAGACCACATTTTGCACCGTCTAGGCGCTGGTTTTAGAACAATGATATTAAGTATCATGTAATTGCTTCATAATATAATGCGTAGTTAGATGTAGGACTATGTTGTATCACGTTAGATTGGTTCCACACATTTGTTTTAGCTTCAAATTGGCTTGAAGGAGTAAAAAAAGTGACTATCGATTGCTTAATTAACTCTCGTGAAACTCTATCACGCCGATGGACAATAAGTTTACAATTTTGCTACACATATATTTTAGTCAACATTCTGCTTTATATTGTATTATTGACACCTGATTTTACCATTGATTTCTTCAACACTTCAAATAATCAATGATTTCAATTTTGCTACCTATTCAAATGTCATTCAAGATGTAGGGAAATAATGGACAAGTAGTATATTTGATAAGTCAATCATGCTACTTGTACATCATATTTGACACCATTGTTTACATTGTGCCACGTGACAACATTCTCTTTGCCAGCTTTTAAAAAAATTGTTTTGGTTTTAAATATTTTACCACGAACCAAAATCAAATAATAAAAATTACGAAGAGACTTGGCTTTCGTTTAAAATTAAACTTCTAGAAGATTTTGAAAAAAGTCGATAAAATATGTGATTGAAAAATTGTGAATTTTACGTAATATGTGATTAAAATCAATTATTGACTTAACTTGAAATTCTAATTTTAACCAATTTTCAAAGATACACTAAATTTGGAACTATACATCTCCTTACACAAATTTAAGAGAGAACAATCTATATAAAATTCCACATGACCATTCTACAATATCAAATTTGGCCATGAGAATCCAAAATTAGTATCATTGTAATGTTATGCTGGGCCAAGATTTGATGCAACTCGCCGTAATTGACTGCACAAGAATATCCAATTATTGAGTTACCTGTTTAATTGACAAATCATTACTTAGTCAAAGAAGGAAGACATCATCATAACCGTAAAAGTGTATCTCAAATAAATTCAATTGCCAACCAAATCAGCCGATTTAAATCCAAAAATACGTGTTATTTTATTTTTGTGAGCAACTTTTAGCCCCTCTTTGATAGGAATTAAAATCTATATTTCAATTTAAGTCAAAGTTAATATTAATTTTAACCACATATTTAATCAATCAACGTCGGGCATTTTAAGACAGAATCTCAAGACTTATACCATGTTTGGTAGAAATTAAAATCTAGATTTTAATTTAAGTCAAAGTTAATAATTAATTTTAACCACATATTTAATGGGTCTCACAACTTTTTAGTCACATATTTCATCAACTTTTATTAAAATTTATTAAAAATCCGATTTTAATCCTTATCAAACATGAGCTTAAACTGATGAGTGTGGTAATCAAATGATAGATGACACCATAACTTAAATCTTTATCGGATAAAGTATTTTTTGACTTTTGTACATATAAAGTTATTTAAAAATTTGAAACTAAAGTCAAATAAAAGTCTTTTAAAAAAAAGAAAAAATGAATAATTAATAAACTAAAGTCATATAAAAGTTTTTTTTTAAATGAAAAAATTAATAAAGTGCACCTAGGCGGTCAATTGCCAGCCAAATCAGCCAATTTAAATCCAAAAATACATGTTATTTTATTTTCGGGAGCAACTTTTAGCCCCCCTTCAATATGAATTAAAATCTATATTTCAATTTAAGTTAAAGTCAATATTAATTTTAACCACATATTTAATGAGTCTCACAACTTTTTAGTCACATATTTCACCTTTATTAAAATTTTAAAAAATCTGATTTTAATCCCTACCAAATAGTGGCTTAAACTGATGAGTGTGGTAATCAAATGACAGTGATTAAGCCCTCGTTTGACAATCATTATTTGAAAATTCTTTTTTCTACACTCTTTTACGATCACATATTCACACAATATACTATTATACAAGTAAATTCAAAAATTTTTCTACTTTTTAATTGTATATTCTCCTAAATTTTACTATTCAAACATTATTTTTCTCAAATAATAGTCATCATACAGGGGCTAAATGTCATAAAAAGATTTTTTTTTCTATATTTATTGAGCATACGTTTGACATGATTTCTACTTTTGTATTTATGTAAAAGAACTTTCTCGAGAACTTACTTTAAGTCAACTTTTACTAAAAACTCTTCCAGCAAATAAATAGCTCGTTTGATAGGATTTTTATTTCAACTTCTTGTAAAAGAGATTTCTGAAAAAAGTTATCTTAGCCCCTATTTGATGGCCATTATTTTGAGAAAATTGAGTTTTGAATATTGTTTTTTTTTAGAATGTGTGGTTAAAAAGTAGTGAAAAGTTTAAGGTCTACATGCACAATATTTTTATTGTGTAAATTTGTGGTTGAAAATAAATAGGAGAATTAAAAAGTTTTGAAATAATAGTTGTCGGCTTAATTGATATTTGAAAACTAATTTCTTAAATAGCTTTCTCTTCTTGAAAAATATTGAATTAACTTTTTCTAAAAGTTCTTTTAAACTACATGAAACACTTTTACAGAATTAACAAACGAATTTAAAAGAAGCTTTTGGATCTCATAAACTCATTTTGCCTTTTCAAATGCCCTCTCAAACTTTCCCAAACGACTTCCAAAAATTATTCAAAGTGATCAAATTTAGCCCCTATTTGATATTCAAATTCTTTTTTCGACATACTTATTTTTAATCACGTTCATATAATAAAATATTCTNTTTTAATCACGTTCATATAATAAAATATTCTGCACGTATATCCAAAATTTTTCCTATTTTTTTAATCATACATTCTCTTAGAAAGTCACTATTCAAAACTCTATTTTTTCTAAGTAATGATCGTCAAACAGTAATTTAAGAAGTAACTCTATGTTAAAGTGAACTTTTGAGTATTGATTAATTTTCAAATGAAATGGCTAAGAGAGTGTATTCAATTGAGACTTTTAATGACGTTTTGAGATTTAAAAAGTTTAGAGGTATTAAATGTAGATTTTTGAGACTTTCCAAAAATATTGGTATATTCAAATGATATTTTTATAGATATTTAAAAAGTCTTTAAAAACTACAATGTCTTCAATTAAAACTTTTTAAACGTCTCTATAATTTTGGGGTATTCAGATTGTAATAACCTTTATAGATTTTTCTAGACACTTTTAGGATACTAATTTTTTTAGAAAAAAGTACTACAATAAAATTTCAAAATTTATTTCTCATTAATCATAAGGTTTTGGGAGACTTTCACAAAAAATAGAGAAATTAATATATATTTTTTTCAATATTTTTTTATTTTTCCTTCTACGAGTATTAGAGTTATGATTAAAATTAATTTTTTTTATATATTTGTTTCTATTTTTTCTTTCAATTTTCTATAAAAAATTAAATTGGATTCTCATAACTTCTTTTTCCATTCATTTTTTTGTGAAAAAATATATCTATTTTTAATTAAATTACAAATTTTTATATAAACTAATTTATAATTAAATTTAAATATTTTTATTTTTTATTTATTCTTTAAAAGTATATTATATTAATAATATTGTATATTAAATTTATTTTTAACATATATATATGTATGTATGTAATTATAATTTTGATTATATTTATTTAATTAAGTCTTTAAATTTTTATTTTTTTCAAATATTTTTTAATTGTATGGGAAGGAGAAGAGGCATTGTGGAACCACCATCTCGTACGTGAGAATTTCAAACTATTACATCAGATGCACGTGAATTGTATTTCAAACGAAAGTTTTAAAAAGTTTTTTGAATTCTACAAAATTCTATAATAAAAGTGTGTTTGGTAGAGATTAAAATCGGATTAAAATTGAAAAACTAGCCATTATTGTTGCTTTTATTAGACGGGTGCGACCCAATAACGGCTATATTTTCTATTTTAATTAGATTTTTAGTGTTACCAAACAAGCTCTAAGTTTACGAAATATTTCACACAAATCTATAAAAAAATCCACAAAATTCGTAGGTCGTCACTTAAAAAAAGTCCATCAAAATTTTCAAAAGTTCCAATTGAATACACCCGTAAACTTTGTTGCTAATAAGGAACATCATCATTAAAACCTATCTTAAACCTAGATAATACACAAATCCAATGCAATTGTAACATTTTCTAATTTTTCTCCAAAAGCTATCTGAAAATTTGAATATCCTCTTTCGTTATTTTGAAGGGTCCCGATTACGAACCGTGGGTCTGTCCTTTCCATCTTCCTGAATCCAAGTTATCTACATCCATTCATTTCCCCATTCAGAAATAATCGACATAAACCTCAGTTCAACCAATCACTATTCCACACTTGCAAAATTTCCTTGTTCTTCCTGTAAGTTCATGCTTATTTAATCTTCTGTGCCTAGGGGTTTCAGCAATTACTCGATTAAACGTTTGATCGATCAAATTGAAGATAAAAGTGCTGTGTTATAAATGGATTGGAGCAACGTCACTGCGGAGGATCTGATCGAGGCATTGCGGGAAGTGGACTGGTCATCGCCGCCCCGGCCTCTCTCTGAATTCTTTTCCCGGTTCACCGTCCCCCGTACAGTCTCTAAATGGGACAGTCGCCTCAAATGCAATCTCTACTAGTATGATCCTATGTTTTATGTACTTATGCCGTTGTGCTTCTTGTATTTGTGTATACGCGAAATTAATTTTGTGATATCGGTCGATCTCTTGTTAATTATGATTTTGTATTTGTTTCCTAATTGGAGATTAAGAAAGAGTAGAAATGAGAAGTCGAGCTGTTTTTTATTTTATTATTTTCTATATATGCAAATTATGTTCAAGAATATAAAATTTAATTTTTTTCGGTAGTCATCCTTTTCTTTTATCTGGCAACAAAAAGTGATTAGAGTTATTTCGTTGAAAGATCCTGGATTATTTACATTTTCTAAATTATTTCTTGTTTTCTTGTAGCTATCGGACCAATTATTTCATAATGATTGTGTTTATTCTTGGTAAGAGAGCTAAACATGATGGTCAATACACATTTCATGTACATGTATGCACTCGAATGTTTGTATCAGTCATGCGAACTAATTAAGGTATTAATGTGCATTACGTATTTCAGGGATGGGATTTCTCAGGAGGCCACTTGCTATTGTTGCAGCATTGATGACTGCTTTAAGCATTGCTTGTCTGAATGATAGGTATGCTTGCTATAACAAGCCTTTACAACCAATCTATTGGCATACTGAAGAATCCTATAATTTCACTATATGAATGTTGTAGTTTTGCTGCTTGTTTTCTGTAGTTGGATGGATTTTGTTAATTGGATGTTTCATGCTATGTTGCTCTGAAATGCCAGTCTCCATATTGCATATTGTGATTTTTACGCTAGAGTTACTCAAAGAAGCAGCAATGTGTTGGTTTATATGGATTATTATGTTCCCCTTACCCTTTTTTCTGATTCGTTGACCAAAATTTCCAAATTTACTTTTTTTGCTTTAGTACAGTCTTCTTTTCTTATCCTTGTTCTCCTTATCACTTGTTTTATCCCCCCTTTTGACATCTACAATCAATGCCCTAACAGCATCCTGCTCTTAGTCAAAAGACACCCAAGGTACTCAACACATGGATTCTTTTCTTCTTAATTAAAATCACGGTTGCTGTTCTCCCCTTTTTTCGCAGACACAATTCTGTTTCAGTCAATATTACTCAATGTTCCATAGCTTGGGTTCACAACAGCAAGAAGCAGTAGTTTGTAGCCTTAACATGCACAATTTCTCTTGGCTTTCTCTTTACCTATATTCTAAAAAAGTAAAAACTGAAAATATCTGAATCAGTTCCATGCACATTCAGATTCCCCACCATTATCCACTGTTGAAAAGTCTCTCCATCTCCTTGGACATCCCTTTTCAGCCCCATCCCACAAAAATAATTGGCAATGATTTTCTTTCTCTGGCATTTCATTTCAATTTAAATTTATTCCTCAGATTCTTCCTTCTCTGTTTCTTGCTGCTGTAATAATTGCATGGTTGATTTGTTATACTCTTTTGATGTAGTATTTAAGTTTACTCATTTATCTTGGTCGAACTGTTTTTAAATCAAATCATTTGGTCTCCAATAATGCTGCACCACGTGGCGCCCTGTAGTTCTGTTATGAGTTCCTAGTTGTTGTTGTTGCTCCTTTTAATCTTTGCATATATTGCTAATCCCTGTTACTACAGCTTTGCAGGTATTTTTAGTGAAAAGGTGACAAGAACTGTTAGACAGTTTTCTCCACATTTAGCTGCCAAAATGAGACCTCCTCTTAGGTGAGTAATTTTCGTCTCTGAAATTATGAATGATTAGGATTCTTACTTGAATATCTTATTTCTTCTAGGCCTGTTATTCGTGGGCGCCCATCTGCCAAAAGAGCAATCTATATATGTGGACAGCCTCGTTGGGTATTTGTTTTGGTATTCTCCATAGGTATGGAACAGTGACTATCATTTTCGTTCACCCGTTGTTTATGGCTTGAGGTATTGTAATTTCTGCTTTGAAGTGTAAGCAACCTTGATTTCTCATTTGTTATTTGTGCAGTGAGTTTCATCCTATGGTTTGTTTCTTGTGCCCTTCTCACTGTCTTGTTGGCATTTGCTATTGGCCTTTTAGGTAAATCAATGCTTCTTATGGTGAAAATTCTTTTCCAATTTCTGTATTCTCTAACTTCCTTTCCCTCTCCTTCTCTTTCTCTCCCACACTCAGCCACCATTGCACACGCAAGCTTCAGGGTGCCCAACTTGAAAGCTCGCCTGAACACATTCCGAGAGGAATTCCGTACAGTTTGGCGAAATTACAGTGAGCTGTAGCTTATGGGAAGTAGCACACATGTCAGTTACTTTGCCTTGACCTGCCTTTATATTGACTACCCCAATATCTTTTTTTCATTTTCTTTCACCTATTCCATTTATATTTTTGGCATGTATATTCTGCCATTCTCTCATGCTTACTGTGTTGCATATTGCAGTAGGTTTTACATTTACCTGTTTAAGTCTCCTCTTCACATTGTAAATTAAAATAAATGCCAAGGCAGAATTGGTTTAAATAATCCTAGTTGGTTCTGCTGTACACAGACATGCTAGTTGAAATTTGATTGGGTATTTACTCCCTTCTTCATAACAGAGAGATGGATGGGGTCCTCTTTATTTTGAAAACCTTGACTTGTTTGTAAACAATTATGACCTAATTTGCAGAACAAAATCATAGTGTGGCCTGTAATGTGGCTTTACTATAGATTATAGAATGGTCATGTCATGAACGTGGCAGTAGTAAAGAAGAGGCAGAAAATTGAAGAACAAAGACGGATGATTTAACTGAAATTCTATTGTATTATTGATTCACTTATTTCCTTCACCTCCCTGCTTCCGATGAGACAAATTTAAGTCAAAAGTCACAATGCTAACTATGGAGACTGGAGTCATAAAAAGGAGCTGTTCAAAGCCTTGGTGGCTTGGCTATCATAGAAACCTCTCAATTTTCAGACCTACCTTTCTCTCAGGGACCTATATTAATTGGTCTGTCTTGTAAGAATGTTTAGGGTATTTGCTTCAAACTCAGATATCTGATTGATATTTTTGGTTTTAGGTCATTCATTGCCTTTTATTTGGAATTGGTTAGGCTTCAACTTGATATGTGGTAATAATTGGATGCATATCATCGTTGTTTCTTGGAGCAATTTACTGCTGATATTGTTTTTGCGGTTTTCCTTTTCTAATAGCACGTGACGTTAAACTCTTTTATTTGAGCATTCATTATTATGCACCTAATATTTGTTTACCAAGGAATATCTTCTCATCATCCTCTTTCTGTAGTGACCGAAAAAAAAAAAATTCATGGCTGTCTTATCACAGTTCATTGTCTTTTCATAATGAGAAATATGTAGCTAGGCCTAGAATACTGTCGTTCATTTGGTTTTACATACTCCGTCAGAAAATGCATTTTATCGCTTGTGATTCTCTATTAAAACTCGGAAGCTTATGATGTTGATCTTTGCTTCTCTGTTGTAGGGGGCATTGTTTTGACTGTGGAGATAATAATACATCATGTTCGTCTTCACTTTTTCTAGACAAATGGGGCTAAACGTGAAGTTTCTTCGACCCAGCTGCTCAGTTCGGCTCTGATGGGCTGCTAATGTTTGCAGACGAGTAGGTTTGTTTGATTTTGTTTTAGATACTAGTGAGACGCACGTGCTTCGGTGTAGTTGGCTATGTAATAGCGTATTGATCAAAGGTTAGATGCTGAAAAGTTTCTGTACTTGCATACTAATCTTTTATCTCTGCAGATAAAATATTCCAAGAGCAACAAAATGTCCTACATTTCCTGCTTTACCCCTTTCAATTCCAAAACTTACTAAATGCTTCCTTTTTTTTTTTTTAATTTTATTTTCTTTCTTTCTTTATACTAAATTACTTCAAATTTATTGATATGAATTCAATTTAGGAGCCAATTTTTTTATTAATACATCAATTTTAGATAAATTAAATATTCATTTAATTTTAAAATTCACATCAAATCCTACTCCTTAAAATGTATTCAGATATAGAAAATTTGACAAATCAATGTGCATTGCAGCTTAAAGAAAGTATCAATTCGACCCAAAAGTTCAAAATTGAAACGGTACTAAAATG